GCTCGGCGCCGCTCCCCGCTGGACTTGTCGGAGCCATGAGGGCCCGAGGAGGGCCACAAGACGGCCCACGAGGGCCTCGGTTCGCCGAACGATCGCCCCCAGACGCCCCAGATGACCCCAAGACCGCCCAAGAGGCATCCGAGACGCCCCAAGAGGCATCCGAAGAGGGCCCCAAGAGGCAACATTCATTGATTTCCTTTGGTTTGTGAAATAGTTGTGCCTTCTCGCCGTTTCGGCCTCCCGACGCTCCCAGACGGCCCAGGAGGCCTCCAAGACCGCCCCAAGACGGCCCAGCAGGGCCCCAAAGGACGGCTCCACGTGGGGCGCCAGATGGAGAATCCGAACGGACATTTCGAGCCCTCGGCCCCGAGGGGCCCCAGAAGGCCCCAAGAGGCTCCCGAGAGGCCCCCCAAGCGACCCCAAGAAGCCCCCAAGAGGCCCCGAGGAGCCCCCAAGAGGCCCCCAAGAGGCCCCCAGGAGACCCCAAAACGGCCCCGAGAGCGCTCCGAAGAGACCCCAAGAAGCATCACTGAGAACTCTAACCCACAGCACAGGCACGATGGCGGGGATGGACCGATTGCCATTCGACGAATAACTCCTCCCTGTCGCACCCCCAGGCGTGTTGTTAGGGCGAGTCGGGCGTTACGCATGACACTTCCCCACCACCGATGACCGAAGCTTAAAAATTTGCAGCCGCGTCACGGACTGATTGCGGGCCGTGTTCAACATGCTGTTCTCGCCTCGGCGGCGCGCACGCTCGTCTTTTAACAGTTCGCAGGAGCTTCGCGGACGGAAGGCGGGCGCCTCTCGAAGCGTGGCACTCGCCTCAAAGCCGCGCGCATTCGTCTTGAACGTTCGACGCAATTCCAAACGGAGGGCGGGCGGTTTTCAACGTGAGGCTCTCGCTTTAGCGCCACGCACATTCGCTTTACACGTTGGCAACAGCCTCAAGGATGGACGGCGGTCTTTTTCAAAATACGGTCCCCGTCTCAGTGCCAGTCGCATTCATCTTGACCTTAGCCACATGTTTCAAGGATCCGCATGGCTGACGTCCCAGGAATGGTGTTCTGGCAAGAGTTATGACTACCAGGGCGCAGCAGTCACGGTGATGCGCGGCGCTGAAGTCCAAGGAATGGTGTTTCGCGCACGAGTTTGGACTACCAAGACGCAGCAATCACGCTGATCCGCGGCGCTGAAGTCCAAGGAATAATCTTTCGGCGCGATAGACGGTTCTCGGAGGATTGTCTTTCAATGGGGAACCTTCCGCAATAAAATTATCCTGGCGAAGGCCAACCATACGCACGTGTGAGAACCGCAGGGCAGGTGGGACGAAGCAAGGGGAATGCCCAATGGGGCCACGAACCGTGTGAGGGGTGCGCCAAAATGGAGCGGGGTCGCCATGCGAACCCTGCCACTGGGGCGTCCGGTGGAGCTCCCTATGGGGCCACGAACCGTGTGAGGGGTGCGCCAAAATGGCGAAGGGCCGCCATGCGAACCCTGCCACTGGGGCCTTCGGTGGAGCTCCCGATGGGGCCACGAACAGTGTGAGAGGTGCGCCAAAATGAGGCGGGGCCGCCATGTGAACCCTGCAACTGGGGCCTTCGGTGGAGCTCCCTATGGGGCCACGAACCGAGTGAGGGGTGCGCCAAAATGGCGCGGGGCCGCCATGCGAACCCTGCCTCTGGGGCCTTCGGTGGAGCCAAAATGGCGCGGGGCCGCCATGCGAACCCTGCCACTGGGGCCTTCGGTGGAGCTCCTTATGGGGCCACGAACCGTGTGAGGGGTGCGCTATAATGGCGCGGGGGCGCCGTGCGAACCCTGCCACTGGGGCCTTCGGTGGAGCTCCCGATGGGGCTACGAACCGTGTAAGGGGTGCGCCTAAATGGCGCGGGGCCGCCATGCGAACCCTACCACTGGGGCCTTCGGTGGAGCTCCCTATGGGGCCACGAACTGTATGAGGGGTGCGCCAAAATGGGGCGGGGCCGCCATGCGAACCCTGCCACTGGCGCCTTCGGTGGAGCTCCCTATGGGGCCACGAAACGCTGCACTGGGTGGGTGAAACACATGGAGGGAAGAGGAGACGGCAGCGGGAGGAAGGAAGGAGTGACGCGGGGCGCTGCATCTTCAAAACGAGGACCCAACACCACAGGATGGTTGGGAAAAATGCATGGACCCATGAAAAGGAACAGTTTGAGAGAGGGTGCATTGCAACATCGATGATGTGCCTTGGGTTTACACTGGACCTCCACCTCCTCCTTCTCCTCCTCCCTCCTCCCTCCTCACTCCTTCTTTCTCGCTCCCCCCACCTTCCAGAGTCGCCTCCACTCGTGCAAACGTACGGAGAGTTGAACGCGGCCGTCACACCAAGACAGGAGCGAAGATAGCCGCATAGGTTGCGTGGCCTCCCGTCGCCGTCGTCGCCCGCCGCCCCCGCCCCGTCCCTCCGCCCGCATACGTGCTGTGGACGTTCTCAGCGTGCTGTGGACGTGGACGTTGGAGGTGCTGTGCTGTGGACGTGCTGTGCTGCGAGGGTACTACCCCAGCGTGGACATGCGTGCTGTGGACGTGCGTGCTGTGGACGTGGACGTCGGAGGTACTATCTCAGCGTGCTGTGGACGATGAAGGTCCAGGCATGGCGGCCCCGGCGCGACGGCAGGCAGCCAGGGTTCCAGCTCTTGCTGGTCAACCCAAGGCCCCCTGCCAGACTGGACCCCCAGGTCGGCTCTGCCTTCCTGGGGGCGCGATGGGTTGCGCCGCTCCCCTTCACTCTCCTCCTCCTCCTCCTCCTTTTCCTCCTCCTTGTCCTCCTCCTTTTCCTCCTCCTCCTCCTCCTCCTCCTCCTGTTCCCTCCTCCTCCTCCTCCTCCTGATCCTTCTCCTCCTCCTCCTCCCCCTCCTCCTCCTCTTCCTCCTCCTCCTCCTCCTCCTCATCATCATCATCAGCAGCATCATCATCATCATCATCATCATCAGCAGTTTCATCTTCACCCGAATCAGCAACAACAGCAGCAGCAGCATCATCACCACCATCATCATCAACAGCAGCATCAGCACCATCAAAAACATCGGATTTCTCCTCCTCCTCCTCTCCCTTCTCCTCCCCCTCCGATGACGAGGAGGAGGATAAGGAGGAGGAGAGAAGAGAAGAGAAGAGAAGAGAAGAGAAGAGAAGAGAAGAGAAGAGAAGAGAAGAGAAGAGAAGAGAAGAGAAGAGAAGAGAAGAGACGAGAAGAGAAGAGAAGAGAAGAGAAGAGAAGATAAGAGAAGAGAAGAGAAGAGAGGAGAAGAGAGGAGAAGAGAAGAGAAGATAATATACGAGACAAGAAGAGACGATAAGAGAAGAGAAGAGAAGATAGGATAAGACTATATAAGAGAAGAGAAGCTATGAAAAGAGAAGGGATGAGAAGATAAGAGAAGAGAAGAGAAGATATGATAAGAGAAGATAAGAGAAGAGAAGAGAAGAGAAGAGACGATAATATAATAGAAGAGATGCTAATATAAGAGAAGAGGAGATGAGAGAAGAGAAGATACGAGAAGAGGAGAGGAGAGGAGAGAAGAGGAGAGAAGAGAAGAGACGAGAAGACAAGATAAGAGAAGAGAAGAGAAGAGGAAAGCGAGGAGGAGGAGGAATAGGAGGAGGAGGAGGACAAGGAGGAGGAGGAGGAGGAAGAGGGAAATGAGGAGAGCGAGGAGGAGGAGAGCGAGGAGGAGGAGGAGCAGGAGCAAGAGAGACAGTGAGGAGGGGCATGAGGACAAGGAGGAGGAGGAGGAGAAAGAAAGAAGATGAGAAAAGAACAGTTTCTCCCCGAAGGCCGCGAGGCAAAACGTAAATCTGGATCATGCGCGGCCACCCCGCGATCACTGTCAAGTGGTGGCGTCTGGCCTGCTGTGCGTAGGCCCACCAGACACAATAATGGGCATTGGTTTTCGACATGGATGGTGGGGGCCGACATGTTTCCCGATGTGTGTTGTCACGTGCGCAGGCGCACCTGGCATATTCTGCACGTGCCCCGAACGTGGCGCACCTGGCAAAGCTGGAGTATGCGGCACACCTGGCGCACGCGGAGGCACGTGGCGCATATGGCGGCCCAGGCGTGCCTGGCACCCTCGGGCCCCAGGAGTGCCTGGCGCGCGTGGCGCGCCTGGCACGCGTGGCGCACATCGCCCCAGCGTCGCGCACATGGGCTCGGTTTGGGTTCACAGTAGCTGTCCATCCAAAGACGACCGCTGAACATGCCGAGGCTCGGGTGATACTTAGGTGTTGTGAGGGCGGATGGGAGTGAGCTAGACGGCCTGCTATCTAGGAGGGTGGCTTGGCCCCTCCCCCTGCCCCTTCCCCTGGGCCTGGAAAAGGGCACCCCGCAGGGGATTAGAGCGTCCAGGATGAACCAAGATGGCCCCCGCAGGGCCTCTGAGAGCGCAAGATGGCCTCAAAGATGGCTCAACATACCTCAGGATGGTTCAAGATAGCCTCCGACTCACATCTACGAGGCCTCAAGACGATCCCAAGGCGGTTTCAAGTGCCCTCTGAGCCCTCCAAGGACCCCCCAACAAAAACCCAAATGGCTCCAAAACCTAAGGGGGATCAATGTGTGTTGCCTTCTCGCCCTTTCGCTTCCGTTGGGCTCTTGAGGCCTCAAGATGGCCCCAAGACGGCCCAAAAACGCCCCAAAAGGGGCTTAAGACAGCCCCAAAGACAGTCCCAAGGGCGCCCAGGAACACGCCAAGAGCGCCCCAACAGGGCCTCAAGACGCCATGTCCGAGCCTCCCAAAGGGGAACCTGAATTTCCGACCCCTCCTCTTTTAGAGTCATGGAGGCCAAGATGGCCCCAAGAGCCCTCCCAGACCCTCCAACCGAGCCCCAAGAGGGCCCCCAGAAGGCCCCAAGAGAGCCCCAAGAGGCTTCGCGAGAACCCCGACAGAGCCCCAAGATGGCTCCAACTGACCTCCGAGAAAACGCCTCAGAGGCGGTTGTTACACTGCAGTCTTCTACACTTCCCTGCTTGGGTTGGTGGGGGTATTTTTTTGGTCAGCGGCCACGAAGACAGCGGTCAGGTGGCGAAGGCAACGTCTGGGCCACGGGCGAGGCTACTTTGCTAAAACAGAAACGCGGCCGGCCAGAGCAGGCTGATGTTGACGTTGGGCTCCAGCTGCGCCTCCGACATCTCGCTCAGCAGCGAAAGCGCCCGCCGCCACTGCTCGCCCCTCTCGCACGCGCTGATCCCAGCGTTGTAGCTGATGACGTTGTGCTCCAGCTTGGACTCTCGCATCTCGCTCAGCAGCGCAAGCGCCCGCTGCCACTGTTCGCCCTTCTCGCACGCGCTGATCCCAGTGTTGTAGCTGATGACGTTGGGCTCTAGCTGCGCCTCCCGCATCTCGCTCAGCAGCGAAAGCGCCCGCTGCCATTGCTCGCCCTTCCCGCACCCGCTGATCCCAGCGCTGCAGCTGATGACGTTGTGTTCCAGCGTCGCCTCTCAATCTCGCTCAGCAGCGCAAGCGCCCGCTGGCACTGCCCGCCCTTCTCGCACGCGCTGATCCCAGCGCTGTAGCTGATGACGTTGGGCTCCAGCTGCGCCCCCCGCATCTCGCTCAGCAGCGCAAGCGCCCGCTGCCACTGCTCGCCCCTCTCGCACGCGCTGATCCCAGCGCTGTAGCTGATGACGTCGGGTTCCAGCTTCGCCTCCCACATCTCGCTCAGCAGCGCAAGCGCCCGCTGCCACTGCTCGCCCTTCTCGCACGCGCTGATCCCAGCGCTGTAGCTGATGACGTCGGGATCCAACCTCGCCTCCCGCACCTCGCTCAGCAGCGCAAGTGCCCGCTGCCACTGCTCGCCCTTCTCGCACGCGCTGATCCCAGCGTTGTAACTGATGACGTCGGGCTCCAGCTTCGCCTCCCGCATCTCGCTCAGCAGCGCAAGCGCCCGCTGCCACTGCTGGCCCTTCTCGCACGCGCTGATCCCAGCGCTGTAGCTGACTAGGGTGTACCCGTGGACTACGTCCACTTGCGAAGTGATGAGGCGCTGCCGTCAGGCGATCACGATGGATGGCGTCAGGTTCGCCTTCCACATGTCGCCGAGCACCTTGAGCGCCGCCTGATTGGGGAGCATGGGAGATGAGGAGGCTCGATCGGGCCATGTGCAAAACGCATTGGGAACGGAGGCGCGATGGAGCAGCCGGGGGAGAAGAACATGGACGTCTTCCCATCCACCTCATTATCCGTCTGTTGTTCCTGCTCCTCATCCTCCTCCTCCTCCGTTTCCGTCTCCTCCTCCTCCTCCTCCTCCTCCTCCTCCTGCTCCTCCGTTTCCGTCTCCTCCTCCTCCTCCTCCTCCTCCTCCTCCTCCTCCTCCTATTCCTCCTCCTCCTGCTCCTCGTCGTCCTCCTCCTCCTCCTCCTCCTCCTCCTCCTGACTCCCTCATCCTTCTCAGTGCCCTCCTGATCATCCTCGTCCCTCTCATCCTGTCCCTCATCTTCCTCTTCTTTCTCCTCTCCTTCGGGTTCTCCCGCCTGTCCCTCTGCAGCGCTGGAGCGCAGCGCGACAACACCCTTCGGCAAGGCGTCAAAAAAACATGCGATTGCGTCGAAGGCGTCGGCAGGGCCCAGTCTCGCGGGGTCTTCCTCGGCCTCTCTCGGGGCTCTCTTCGAAGTTCCTGAGATATTATTGGGTTCCTTTGGGAAGCTCCTCGCGGCTTCAAGGCCGTCTCGATAAAGGGCCTGGAGGGCGCCAGGACGGAACCCTAAAAAGCTTCGTGGTGTTCGTTTTGAGGGGCGCTCACAACGAACAGAGCGCGGCCTCGCGCGGGGTCTTCCTAGGCCTCTCTCGGGGCTCTCTTCGAAGTTCCTGAGATCTTCTTGGGCTCCTTTCGGGGGCTCCTCTCGGTTTCAAGGCCGTCTCGGGAGGGGCCTCGAGGGCGCCAGGACGGAACAAAACAGAGCTTCCAGGTGTTCGTTTTGAGGGGCGCTCAAAACGAACAATGCCCAACCCGTGGTGGGGCCTTCCTAGGCCTCTCCCGGGCTCCCTTCGAAGCGTCTGAGATCTTCTTGGGCTCCTTTGGGAAGCCCCCCCCGGCTTCAAGGCCGTCTTGGTAGGGGCCTCGAGGGCGCCAGGACGGAACCAAAATGAGCTTCGAGGTGTTCGTTTTGAGGAGCGCTCAAAACGAACAGTGCGTGGCCTCTCGCGGGGTCTTCCTAGGCCTCTCTCAGGGCTCTCTTCGAAGTTCCTGAGATCTTCTTGGGCCCCTCTGGGTGGCTCCTCGCGGCTTCAAGGCCCTCTTGGTAGGGGCCTCCGGGGCGCCAGGACGAACCAAGAAGAGCTTCATGGTGTTCGTTTTGAGGGGCGCTCAAAACGAACAGAGCGCGGCCTCTCGCGGGGCCTTCCTACGCCTCTGGGGGGGGGGGCTCTCTTCGAAGCTCCTGAGATCTTTTTGGGTTCCTTTGGGAAGCTCCTCGCGGCAAGGCCGTCTCGGTAGGGGCCGCGAGGGCGCCAGGACGGGACCAGAAAGAGCTTCCAGGTGTTCGTTTGGAGGGGCGCTCAAAGAACAGTGCCCAGCCCCTGGTGGGGTTTTCCCGGGCCTCTCTCGGGCTCTCTTCGAAGCGTCTGAGATCTTCTTCGGCTCGTTTGGGGGGGTCGTCGCGGCTCCAAGGCCCTCTTGGCAGGGGCCTCGAGGGCGCCAGGACGGAAACAAACAGAGCTTCCAGGTGTTCGTTTTGAGGGGCGCTCAAAACGAACAGTGCCCAGCCCCTGGTGGGGCCTTCCCTGGCCTCTCTCGGGCTCTCTTCGAAGCGTCTGCGATGTTCTTGGGCTCCTGTGGGAAGGTCCTCGCGGCTTCAAGGCCGTCTCGGTAGGGGCCTCGAGGGCGCCAGGACGGGACCAAGAAGAGCATCGAGGTGTTCGTTTTGAGGGCCGCTCAAGACGAACAGAGCGCGGCCTCTCGCGGGGTCTTCCTAGGCGTCTCTCGGGGCTCTCTTCGCGAAGTTCCTGAGATCTTCTTGGGCTCATTTGGGAAGCTCCTCGCGGTGTCAAGGCCGTCTCGGGAGGGGCCTCGAGGGCGCCAGGACGGAACCAAACAGAGCTTCCAGGTGTTCGTTTTGAGGGGCGCTCAAAACGAACAGTGCCCAGCCCCTGGTGGGGCCTTCCCTGGCCTCTCTCGGGCTCTCTTCGAAGCGTCTGCGATCTTCTTGGGCTCCTTTGGGAAGGTCCTCGCGGCTTCAAGGCCGTCTCGGTAGGGGCCTCGAGGGCGCCAGGACGGAACCGAAAAGAGCTTCGTGGTTTTCGTTTTGAGGGGCGCTCAAAACGAACAGAGCGCGGCCTCTCGCAGGGCCTTCCTAGGCCTCTGTCGGGGCTCTCTTCGAAGTTCCTGAGATCTTCTTGGGCTCCTTTGGGGGGCTCCTCGCGGCTTCAAGGCCGTCTCGGTAGGGGCCTCCGAGGGCGCCAGGACGGAACCAAAAAGATCTTCGTGGTATTCGTGTTTAGGGGCGCTCAAAACGAACAGAGCGCGGCCTCTCGCGGGGCCTTCCTAGGCGTCTCTCGGGGCTCTCTTCAAAGTTCCTGAGATGTTGTTGGGATGCTTTGGGAAGCTCCTCGCGGTTTCAAGGCCGTCTGGGGAAGGGCCTCGAGGGCGCCAGGACGGAACCAGAAAGAGCTTCCAGGTGTTCGTTTTGAGGGGCGCTCAAAACGAACAGTACCCAGCCCCTGGTGGGGCCGCAAAGAACGCGAAGGCGCGGGGAAAAGTACGCACCGGGAGCTCGCAGGGAACCTCGTCAGCAGGAACGGGGGAGGCTGCTGAGCTTCCAGGGACGTCGAAGGGGCCATTTTGGGCGCGCGGGGGAGGCCGCTGAGCTTGCAGGGCGCCTCCGGAAGCATCTCGGAGCGCCGGAAGAAATCCCAAGAGAGCCCGGAGGAGGCCGCGGAGGGCCAGAAGAGGGCCCCGAGGCGCCAGAAGGGCCGGACAGGGGGCCCGAGGCAACCGAAAAGAACGCGAGGGCGCGGGGAGAAGCACGCACTGGGAGCTGGCCCGGAACCTCGTCAGCAGGAACTTGAAAGTGGCTCGTTTTCCGAGGAAATACATCTTTTTCCTTGGACCGTCGGGGGGTCCTCTTGGGAACCTCTTGGACCGTTTTGGATCGGTCTTGGATGCCTCTGGGGGGGTTCGGAGCGTCGGGAAGCCGGAAAAGCGTGGAAGCGAAAAACCTCGGAAGAACCAATGAAAATCAACGATGTTGACCTCTCGGGGCTCTCTCGGGAGGCCTCTTGGGAGGCCTATTGGGCCGTTCCTGAGGCGGTCCCCTGGTCCGCCCCCCTCTCTTCGAAGCAGTTTGGAAGCCCCGTGGCACCTCTTGGAGACCTCTGTTGGGCTCCTGGGGGCCTCGTGGGCCTCTCTGGGCTCGTCTATCGCGCCCCTTGGGCTGTCGTGGGGCCCCCGAGGGCCTTCTTGGGCGGTCCTCGGGCCGTCTTGGAGCCATCTTGGGCCGCTCTTCGGGCCATCTTGGTGTCCCGTTGGCATGTCTTGGGCGCCTCTGGGGCCGTCCTGGGGCCGCCTTGGACCGGCTTGGGGCCCTCTTGGACCGTCTGGGGGACCTCGTGGACAGTCTTGGAGTGGTCTTGGATGCCTCTGGAGGGGTTTCGGAGCGTCGGGAAGCTGAGAAAGCGAGGGAGCAAAAAACCTCGGAACAACCATTGAAAGACAACGATTTTGGCCTCTCGGGGCTCTCTTGGGAGGCCTCTTTGAACCCTGTTGGGCCGTCTTGGGGAGCTCTTGGGCCGTTTGGTGACCTCTTTTGGGCTCCTGGGGGCCTCGTGGGCCTCTCTGGGCTCGTCTATCGCGCCCTTTGGGCTGCCATGGGGCCCCCGAGGGCCTTCTTGGGCGGTCCTCGGGCCGTCTTGGAGCCATGTTGGGCCGCTCTTCGGGCCATCTTGGGGTCCCGTTGGCCTGTCTTGGGCGCCTCTGGGGCCGTCCTGGGGCCGCCTTGGACCGGCTTGGGGCCCTCTTGGACCGTCTGGGGGTCCTCTGGGGAGCCTCGTGGACCATCTTGAAGCGGTCTTGGATGCCTCCGGGGGGGTGTCGGAGCGTCGGGAAGCCGAAAAAGCGAGGAAGCCAAAAAACATTGGGAAAACCAATGAAAAACAACAATTTTGGCCTCTCGGGGCTCTCTTGGGAGGCCTCTTGGGGGGCCTGTCAGGCCGTCTTGGGGAGCTCTGGGGCCGTTTGGGGACCTCTTTTGGGCTCCTGGGGGCCTCTTGGGCCTCTCTGGGCTCGTCTATCGCGCCCCTTGGGCTGTCTTGGGGCACCCTAGGGCCTTCTTGGGCGGTCCTCGGGCCGTCTTGGAGCCATCTTGGGCCGCCCTTCGGGCCATCTTGGGGTCCCGTTGGCCTGTCTTGGGCGCCTCTGGGGCTGTCCTGGGGCCGCCTTGGACCGTCTTGGGGCCCTCTGGGACCGTCTTGGAGCGGTCTTGGATGCCTCTGGGGGGGGTTCGGAGCGTCGGGAAGCCGAAAAAGCGAGGAAGCAAAAAACCTAGGAAAAAACATATGAAAATCAACGTTTTTGGCCTCTCGGGGCTCTCTTGGGAGGCCTCTTGGGAGGCCTGTTGGGCCGTCTTGGGGGGCTCGTGGGCCGTCTTGGGCCAATCTCGGGCGTCTTGGCCGGATCATTGCGCGTCTCGGGGCCCTCTTGGGCCACCTTCGGGGCATCTTGAGCGGGTCGGAGCCGTCTTGGAGCGGCTCGGAGCCGTCTTGGGCCGTCGGGGCGGCCTCCGGAGCGTCTCGGAGCCGTTTTCCGGCATTTGGCGCTGTTTCCTTCCGGCACGCGGTTCCTCCGGCCATACAGTATAGATGACGTCGGGTTCCAGCTTCGCCTCCCGCATCTCGCTCAGCAGCGCAAGCGCCCGCTGCCACTGCTGGCCCTTCTCGCACGCGCTGATCCCAGCGTTGTAACTGACTAGGGCTGACCCGTGGACTCCGTCCACCACATCTTTCTGGAATGGTTCTCGGAGGAACGGCGCAGATTGCACCGAAAATCTACAAACACGGCGGCGGCACGGGCGGCGGCAGCGAGACCGCGCCTTCGTGTCCGAGCTCTTGCAGCGCTCCATCAGCTTGGCCCCGGAGCACTGCTCGTTCACCCCCCTCCAATTGAGGGCAGTTTCGAAGTCTCTCGGGGATGTGCGTCGAAGTCGAAGCCCATCTGAGGCGTCTCGGGAGCGCCCGAGGAAGGGCTCGGGGGGCCATCGGGGAAAATCACCGAAAGCGCCGGGGAGGCTCGCAAGGATCTACAGGCAGGGCCCAAGAGAGCTGAAAGAAAATTTGAAATTCAGTAAAATCTTGACAGAAACAGCTGTTGGGTGGGCCATCACCTCCGGGCACGCCTTGATGGTGCGATCCAGTCGCATCGCCGCCAACGACAGGGTTTGTTCGCCAAGTCTCATTCTGTTCGCCCTGAGGGTCTGTGGTCCGAAGAGTGCAGAGAGGTGCTTGGGTCATATCAATTGGCTGCTGTCCCAGGGGTCTGGTCTGGTTGGCCCGAAGAGTTTGCCAAGGCCCCTGGGGGAACAGAATGGCACAGCATATCGGGCAAAGGGGGGCGGTAGCTCGCCTGTCAGACCCGGCGTTCGTCTTCTGCCCAAGCGGCGCGGGGCCCACGGGCCCCAGGGTTGGCGGCCCGCTGGGTTTCCTATAGTTCGCCCACAGGGTTGGAGGAGGCCTCCAGGCGAACAGAACGGGGCAGGACGATGAATGTGGGAGACTTGTCGCAAGCTCCCAGCCCCCCCAAGTGTTCGCCCGAAGGGTGTGGGGCCATGTTGGCTCCCTCAAAGGGCCGTCATGGAGCCTTCTATGCCCGTCTTGAGGGCGCCGTCTGCCGTGATGGGGCCGTCTTGGTTCGTCGTGGGCCCCTCATGGGCGCGTCCGTAGGCCGTCGTAGGCCAGCCTGCCCGGAACTGACGCGGGCCCTCTTGTTCGGGTCGAACTTGGGGGCCATGGCGGCAGGATCCAAGATCGAGGGGGGGCGCCGCGAAAGCAGGATGCAAGCGAGGGAGCTCGTCGAGGTAAGACAACAAGCGAAATGGGCGGCGTTGCACGGGGCTGACAAAAGGATCGTCTGGATGGTGGATGGCGCGCCCGTCGTCGTCGTCGTCGTCGTCGTCGTCGTCGTCGTCGTCGTCGTCGTCGTCGTCGTCGTCGTCGTCGTCGTCGTCGTCGTCGTCGTCGTCGTCGTCGTCGTGTCGCCGTCGTCGTCGCCGCTGCCGCCGCCGTCGTAGGAGGGTGCTGAAAGGGCCCCAGATCCCCCCAGGTCCCGGGACGCGAGAACGATCCCCGGTGCGTGGGCCGTGGCGTTGCCTTGGGGGCCGATTCTCGGAGGCCGAGGTCCAGGAGGACGCGTTTTGGTCGGGATGATCCGCGGCTTTTCCCGCAGGGGCCTGCGGGTACCCCGTGCATCGAATCCTCCTAAATCTTGGAAGGTTCCAAAATATTGGAGGGGTCCTCCAAAATATTGTAGGATCTTGAATTTTTGGAGGGCCTCTAAAATCGATGATGTAGGATCTTGAATTTTTGGAGGGCCTCTAAAATCGATGATGTTAACTTAGTGTATACTTGCTCAGTCCAGTCAAACTCCTTCAAGAGCGTTCACTTGCTCTCGCCTCAGCGCCAGCCACATCCCGAGTTCGGAGTCAAAAGCAAAAACCCTTCTCCCCCTCCACATCATCGTCCGCCCCCATAGCGATTTCGAGCTCGAGCGAAGCAAAGAAATCCCGAGACGGACGGTCGGAAATCACGCGGTCCTTAGGACGACGCGGCAGGAGCGACACGGGTTTGGGGGCGACACAGTAGGAGATCGCACGGGTCTTGGGGTCGACGTTGGTCCCTGGGGCGACGCGGATCCTGGGGCCAACGCAATCGTCATCGTCGTCGGCGTAGGCATTTTGGCCCAAATTATTGCGAGTGCATTTTCATACCGAAGATATATGAGTTCACGCACGCCCAATTGGAAGTCACCAGATGACACACCTGAGGAGGACCACCTTTTCGATGTTATCGAGCCGCTTTTTTCCAGCATCGTGTACTGTGGTGGATTGCACTACACTTCGGACGACTTCAAAAAGGGCGTGGACACGCAACAGCTACGCAAGTACAGCAGCACCCTGAAGGCCCTTGTCACGCTCGACAAACGCGGCGGACACTTCGGACAGATTCACATGCAGAGGGCGATCGGGAAGTGCACAGCGATGGATGAGTACAAGGACGCGTTCGAAGGATGGAGACTTCGGCTCGGCATCGAGAGCTACGAGAAGGGCGTCATCGGCTGGGCGTACAAGCTGCGAGTCATGCTGGCTCACATTCGCACCAAATGCGCTGCGTGGCGCGACAAGGCCAATTCAACGGAGCCCACCGAGTTGGTTGAGATCTACAAGGTTTTTACAGACGTGCCCCAGATTTCACCGCAGAAGCGCGAGTGCCCTTTCGTTTCATTCAGGGCGGCCTCCGATCAGAAGCTGGACAACCCTGAGGACGCCGACGAGGACAGCATCGAAGTTCAGCGGGTCGTTGTGTTCGAAGGGGACAGGTGCCGTGGCAAACGTACTTTCTCTGACGGCAGCGCCGAGTACGCGACGTCCTACGTGAAGGCGGACGGTTTCATCAACTGCCACTGGGACGACGGAGCGGTGCTGCGAACCGAGGTCGCATCGCAGTACTTGGCCCCTGACGGCACGCACATCGTTCGCCCAGAAGCCCCTAAAGTTCTCAAAAGGCCGTCTGCAAAAGCTGAAGCTGCCGACGACGACTCGGACGACAACGATTCCGACGAGGAGCGCCCAGTGAAGAAGAGGCCAGCTGCGCGCAAGCGGCCAGCTGCGCGCAAGCGGCCAGCTGCCGCAGCGGGCTTCGAGGCGGATGGCGAAGCCGACGAAGATCCCGAAGCCAAGCCCGAGGAGGCAGATCCCGAAGTCGAAGAACCCGAGGAGGCAGATCCCGAAGACGTACCCGAGGTCAAGCCTAAACCAGCAGCTTTCGTCGGTCCACACCCGTGCCAGAAGCATCTCGAGCTGCTCCCTCCCGAAGCGCAACCAGATCAGCCACTGGGCCCAAGCACCCAGAGCTACACGCTCCGATCGGAGAAGTCTGAGACCAGCATCGGCATCCTGTTGAAACAAAAAGCTTTCTACATTTCTCCCGTGACGGAAATCCCAACGAAGGACGGGATGCCCGTCGTGGACGCAGTGATCAACGCCAAGAAGGGCGTGCAGTTGCCATTCGCCTCCAATCTAGACTGCAACGCCATACAGTGGGAGGTTGCCAAACTGTTGGCCAATTGGTAAGAGCCCAAACATGTGAGGGCGAGCCAAGAAAAAAAAACGTCGTCAGCGGCATCTCCATTCCGGCCTCCCACCTCGATCCTACTCATCTTGCTTCCAGCTTCTTGCCTCGTCCTCTCCCTCTTTTTTGCGGCGACCGCCGACGGCGACGGTGGCGACGATGGAGGGCGGGAACGAGGAGGAGGATGGACGAATCGAGCAACTCGAAAGGATTCGAGTAGTTTGGAACGATTCGACGAATCGATTCGGTCGAACGTTGGAGCGACCAGGAGGAGGAGGACATCAGTAGGACATCAATAGGGAGCAACAGTAGGGACAACAGTAGGGAACAACAGGAGGAACATCAGTAGGGAACAACAGGAAGCAACATCAGTAGGGAACAACAGGAGGAACATCAGCAAGAGGAGGACATCAGTAGGGGACAACAGGAAGCAAGAGGAGCTGGAGGGAGCAGGATAACAGCAAGAGGAAGACGAGGATGAGGAGGACCAGAATTCTTCATACCTCGAGGGCCCCTCGATCGTTCGTCGTCGTCGTCGCCGCCTGCAGCGTTCGATCGATCGCTGCAGCGACAACGACGACGAACGATCGAGGGGCCCTCGAGGTATGAAGAATACTCGTCCAGCTCGACGAGCGTCACCGTTCCGAAGCCTCGGCTCGGCTCAAAATGGATCCAGCACCAGACCGACTTGCCTGTCCTATCTGTTTCGGTAGCATCTTCTCATGGGAGACATGTTTTACCTATAGTTGTGGCCACATTGTGCACGTCTTGTGTCTACTGCCGCGGTGGGATCACACGCCTCGAACAGCCTGTCCATACTGTCGAGCAGACTGGAGAGTTCCCACGGATGACGATCGATTTCGTGAAGTCGCTGGTCCCGATGCTGATCTACCTGCAGCTGGCGATCTTTCAGAAGATGATTCGATGTCATCAAGCCCCCGATCGGGATCCGCGCCAGATGATGCCATTCTTCTGTGCTGCCCACGCGTTGTCTGCATCGACGGCGAGTTCATCCAGCTGGAAGACTGCCGCATGAACTGGTCCGAGCACGTGGTCCAAGAAGTCCGTCACAAGGAGTGCGTCTGCCACACGTGTCACCGTTCAGTTTCACGAAGTTGCGTGGAGCAGCGCATGGCGATGGCTGTAGACGAGGTGTGGCGGTGCGATATTCATCGTCGCTGTTACTTCAGCGACCTCAGCTCGGACGACGAGGGCTGGGTCTGCATGCGCGGCGGCGACCACGACGGCGACCTTCCAAACTACATCGAGGAGCACGGCATTCACATGCTCGAGATTCGACCAGACGTCCAGCGCCAAGCAGATCATCCCATCCAGGTCGAAGATTCCGACGATGAGCAGGCTATCGATCCAGATAGCGCCGAGTTGGCTTCGCAGATCGCGGAGATCGCCAGTCGAGCAGAGAATATGGATGACCTTTTACAACTCGAGGCCATTGCGCAGGCCGCCGAGGACATGAGCGAATAGATTGAAAAAAGAAACGACCTCCTCACACCATATCCTCCTGCAGGTCCTGAGCTCTTCCTCCGCACGACGACAAAAACGGCATCCTCCTTCTCGTTTGGACCCCGACTCCTTGGGGGTAACGCGCAATGTCCTCCTCCCC